AAGCCATCACCTTGGGTGAACAATCTCCAGAACACATTCCACATGAGGACAACAGGAGCAGCAAATTAATAAGAATTGGTTTTTCTCTGAGGTTTCTTGCTGCACTTCCCAGGAAATATCCTTGGGAAGTTGTGCCTTGCTTTTCTCTGGGAAGAGAAATGCGGCCACACCCCAGGGGTGGTGGCTCCACCGCTGCCCTGGGCAGCCCTTCCAAGGCCTGATCACCCTGGTCTGATCTGAGTCTCTCCTGTCTCAGCTCAGTTCCATTCCCAGGTCCCCTCACTGCAGGCACAGCACAAGAGACCGACCCCAGCTCACTACAGGTGTGATGTGAGCCCCTCTGAGCCACCTCTTCTCCATGCGGAACAACCCCAGCTCCCTCAGCCATGCCCCAGAAGAGAAATACTTTCTAGTCCTTTTGTGAGCCTTTTTGCTGTTCACTGGACACACTCCAGCCCCTCAAAGTCCTTTTTAAAGTGAGGGGTCCAGAACTGAAAGCAGCACTCGAGCTGCAGGGGTGATCCCTGCCCTGCTCTCGGCACCAGCCCGGCTGCTGTTGGCCTCCTTGGCCACTTGGGCACACTGTTGGCTCGCAGCTGGAGCCAGCACTGCCGGGTCCCTTCTGCTGAACATCGAGCCACTCCTCCCCAGCCTGGAGCTGCTGTGACTCCAGGGCAGGAGCAGCACTTGAACCTCGTGCCCTGGAGCTTTGTCCACTGATGGAGTGTGTCCAGGCCTCTCTAGAACCTTCATGAGGTTCTGTGTTCACGCTGGTCTGCTTCGTTCTTGTCTGGTTTTCTCTGCTGCTGAAGCACTGGGGAGGTAAAACCTTGAGAGCCTTGGTACTCCATGGCATGGAAATGTTTGTGTGCTGCACTGAGGACATGGAACTTTGGGTCTCTGATAGCTTCACAACCTCTCATAATTCTATTTTGGCTTCTCTTTATCACCTTTTTAACATTTCCAGCTGTGCTGCAGTCATTAAACCTGTAAAAGCCTGAAACCTGGGGCTCCCAAATGTCTTGCCTGACACGGGCTGTGAGGGGTCAGGGTTTTCACTGTCCTGGCCGATGGGTCAGGGTCAAAGGATGAGATGGCCACAATACACAGAGTATCAGCATGCAGCATCAGAAAGCTTCAGCCCACACAGGTAACAGCACAGCACTTCAGAAGGCTTCAAGCATTGACCCTTCTTGTTCTTTAGCCCAAGCTTTTATCCCCTCCTGTGTAGGAATGTGTCCCCTGTGGATGGAGTAACCAAATTATCCTTTGTCTCCTTAAAAAGGAAAAAAGCTCAGAAGTTTCTCTCCTCAATTGGGTAAAAAGACACCTCACAGGACTTGAGGACTTCACCTCAAAGTTAAGGATACCCAATTGGACAGAAGCCAAAAAGTCCCACCTAAGCAATTCACTAGAAAAAGAAGAGAAAAAAAAATGAACTAATTGCTTTTGTGAGGTAATTTAGCAGGAGCAACAGCCTCTTGCCCCTAGCTTGGGTTTTCTCTGTAAAGAGCTTTGTTATTTTGCCTTTTATTAAAACTTTTCTGTTTCCAACACTACCTCAGAAGTACCACTGAAAAATAGAAAAGCTAAAACCTGAGGTGTCACCCCCACCACGCTTTACAATGCATTTCTGCCCTCCTTTCCCTGCCCACTCTATTCATAGCTCAATCCTTCCTGCTGCACCCAAAACAGCTCCCCAAGTGCAGGCTGCGGTGAGGGGAGGACACCTCAACCTCATTCCACTTTGGCTTGTGGTCTAACGTCTGCTGTTCTTTTCCACAGCCTCTCCCCTCCCTGCCACGTGCCTCCCCCATCCCCTTTGTGCTGCACTTTCCAGAGGAAGTGGTTTTTGTGGTGGGCTGCAGACGGGCACCAGTGGTGACCCAGATCTCGACTGTGGCGTCATGGAACTTGTGCTGTGGCCTCTTCCTGCCCCAGCTGGGCCACCAGCCCCTTTGCACCTCCTGCCCTGCCGGGTTATTTCCTGGCTTTGCTTTGCTCTGTGGTTTTTGTAGCTCGAAATAAACAACAAAATGCAGGGAAGGGGGGGGGGCTCGTTGTGGTGGTGGGAGATTGGCAGCCTGATATCTGAAAGTGGCTTTTGTGAAAAACACCAATCGCTTGTTTTTCAAATTTTAAAAGTTTAATAGGAATAAAATGGTTACAAAAATTAGTAATATAATTTTAGAGTAATAAAAATTTGGACAGTTAGGATTAGGACAATATGAGACAATAAAAACAAAGAATTACAGACAGTCTGAGTACCTCCTTCTGGGCAAAATAAGCCCAAAAAAGGACCTCCGTTAACAGAGGATTAACCCTTAAAAACAATAGCCTGTTGCATATTCATACACCTCATACATTATGCATAAATTCCATTCAAACAAAGGATTCTGTCTGGTCAGTGTCAACTTCTTCCTATGAATCCTGACAGGGCTGAGGAGGCAGGAAGAAGTTCGTTTCTTCTGATAACGGGGCAATAAATTCTTTTTCGCTGAAAGATTTAGGTGCCCTGTGGCTGCTATCTGGTGTGAGTCCTCTTTTTTAAAAAAGTATCTTACATAGCATAGTTTCTATTTTAACATTATGTTATAACCTAAAACTATATTTAACACACTACTTAAGAAAATTAATACAGCATCACATTCTAAGATAACACATATAATATTCATTTTCATATTTGGGGAAAGCCAATCATAAAAATACGCATTTTTCACATCTTTGGAACAGACCTTGCAAATTCAGGGCTTTGCAGGTCACATGCCAGGAGCCATTTTAGTAAAGATATTTAACTCATCTCCCACTTGGCAAATCCTGTCCCCGGAATCAGTTTAACCTGGAAGAGGAAGGACTCAGGTGTGGAAACAGAAGCAGCACAGTCCTTAACTCCTGCCCTTTCATCTGGGACTGAGTTTGAAGTGCGACATAAAAAAACATTTACTATGGTTATTAATTTTTAAAAGTGATGCTAAAGGTAGATGAGTATGGAAAGTTTTCTTTCACATCCCTGAAAGTTTCTGGGATGAGGTTAATTGGTTGGAAATCTGTGAAATGCAATGACTTATGACTTGTTATATAATTTAAATATGGTTTTGGCAGCTTCTGCAGGCTGTTTCCCAGTGGTATGGCAGATTTCATCATGACTGGGATGTAGGCTCCTGGAATCCAGCACTTCCTCCAGCTGGAGAGATGAGCATGATGCTTGTGCCAAGGGAGAGACAAGAACAAATCGCTGAACATCCGTACTGTAAAATAATCAGGGCGGTCACAGGGAAGGTTTAAAGTTGTTCTGTGTCAGGAGGGGTCAGCAGCTCTGTCCCCCTGTGCCAGGTCACCCCCTCAGGGACCTGCAGGACCAAGGCAGGAGCCAGGGAGGCTCTGCTGTGCTGCTCAGCAGAGTGGGGTCAGATCCTGGCATGGCCCTCCCACAGAGAGCCCCAGGGCTTCTGGCTAGAAGTGTTTGAATGGTGACCCTCTCCAAAAGCAGCTCCTTGTGCAGGCTGTGCCAGCTGGGTGAGGGACAGCCACCCCCACTGTCCAGAGAGGCTTTTCCTGCCACCCTGGGGGCTGCTGGAGGTGCAGGCAAGGTTCAAGCTTTGCAGGGACACTTCTCATTTCTCCCCCACAAAGGAACCTCTGGTGATGCCTTAGTGGGGAAGAGGTTTTGCAGTGACTTCTGTGAGCCAGAGAGAAGTTTGAGAAGAGGATCCATGTTTACCCCTGATACAATTTCCTACCAAGATCATTTACATAGAAACCAAGAAAGAAAGAAGGATAAATAAGAGAAACTTCAACTGCCTATTCCAATGAGCATTTTGTTTGTCTCTGGTGACCAATGAATAAAGTGAATCCATGCTTTTACTCCTGAAAGAATTTCCTACCAAGCTCATTGATGTAGAAACCAAGAAAAAAAGGAGAAATAAGAGAAACCTGAACTGCCTGTTCCAATGAGCATTTTGTTTGTTTCTGGTGACCAATGAATAAAGTGTAAACTTATGAGTTTTGTAAGAATGTATAAAAAGCATGCAGGCTATAATAAAAACAGTTTGAAACCTTCTGAAAATGGAGTGTGTTGCTTTGTATTGTCTCTGTCTGAACTACTGACACCTTAGGATTTTAGCTTTTGTATTTTTCATCTATTTGCAATCCTGCAATTCTTTCCTGTATAACTCTAAACTCCACACACAGTGTGAGCTGCTGCTTTCCCTTTCTGGGCAGACACAAAAGTTCCTCTCAAGGCCTGGGAATCCAGGACACCTCACTGCCTTGGGCCCTGAGAGATGTGAACAAAAGTTTTGAGTTGTGGGGAGCAAACTGGGGTAAATGACTTCATTACCTGAAGCTGTAATTGGAAGATTAACTCCCAATATGCAAATGGACCAAACTTAGAAAAATATAAAAATCCATGGCCCATGGTCCATTTTTGGGTGTAGTCCCTGGGGAGGCTTTGTCTGCCCAAAATGTACCCTTTGAAGGCCCTTCAAGATTTATTTTTATTCCCTTGATTTTGTCTGGCCTCTGTTTTTAGGTAGTCCCAAAAGGCATCAGAAGATGTTGGAGAAATTGATGTCACAAAAGGAGAACATTTCCCTTCCAGACCAGCCAGGGACAGACAGACCCTGGAGGCAAAGGGGGCCCATTGGTGCCATCTCTGCAGAGCAGGTGCCCTGTGCTGCTGTCACACCAGGAGTGGGGGACAGCACACCTCAGGGTCCTGTACCCCACAGCAGCACCAATCTGCCTCCAGGGCCCTGTGGCCAGCCCCTGAGTGTGGCCAAGCCATGGTTTTGTTGTCTCCAGCCAGCCCAGCCTGCCCTTGGGGCAGAGGGGTGCCCCTGCTCTTGTCCCCACTGTCCTCACAGAGATGTCCTGCAGAAGGGCTTTGTTCCCACCCTTCCTGGTGAACCCCTTCCCTCCTGCACCCCAAAACTCAGCTGGAAGGGCAAAACAATGCCTCAAACAACAAATAAAAAAAGACAAACAAGTTTCTCATTTTTTGTAAAAATTTTTTTATAACAGCCTAAAGAAATGCAAGACATCTCGTGGTGCCAGTACAGTTCACGAATTAGCAGCATGCAGGTGCCACAGGCAAGCACAGTTCCAAGGTGGGCACACGTGGACAGGTAAATATTTCAGTACATTTTTATGCAACTGGTACAAAAAGAACTTGGGAGATCTCACGTTGTTAGAAGTAAACAAAAAGAACAAAAATGGTTTGTATTGTTACTAAACACAAAGCCAAATCTTAAACCAGTTTAAATTAAGAAGGTGTTATGGTCAGATAGACTTAAAAAAAATAGTATTTTTCTTTTCTTTTTTCTGTGACATTGAAGTGACAATTTCACTGAATTTGGGACTTCTGGGAGAACTGCATCTCACCCTTTAGGGAAAAAACAGGATATCTGGTTCTGATCTAGGAAAAGGTGGCAGGACAGTACATCCTGAGCCAGTCTCTCTTTGCTTTTCAAAGTGTTTCATTTGCACCTGAAAAGGTTTCTGGGGGTGCATCCTAAGAGATATGAATAGCCTAAAGCTACCAAAATAGGAAAAATTCCCATGCAGATGATATTTAGCTCGAAATTCTTAACACACAGCACTGCTCCAGGCAGAAGTCATCACTTTAATGGAAATAACAACTTGGCAATGTATAATTAGAGCAAAGTGTGCTTCATGCAAAAGAGGCACTGTGTGCTGAATGACCCAGACATCTGGAGGACAGAACACTGGAAATGCTTCACTTTGAGTGGTTTTATAGCAATGCAAATAAAGCAATTCAGAATATAATGGCACATTTTACATTTACATTTTACATTTACAACTTGGCAATGTATAATTAGAGCAAAGTGTGCTTCATGCAAAAGAGGCACTGTGTGCTGAACGACCCAGACATCTGGAGGGCACAACACTGGAAATGTTTCACTTTGAGTGGTTTTATAGCAATGCAAATAAAGCAATTCAGAATATAATGGCCGGGGTGGTATATCGGAGCAGCAAGGGATGTCCTTGCACAAGGGATATCCCTGAGCTCCCTCTTGCTCACGATGCTCTCTCAAAGCAGATGGGTTTGGCACTTCAGGACTGCTCCACCTGGTTACTCTCAGTCCTGTAACAAAAACAAAGGTGTGTTCAATCAATATTTGGGTTACAGCAGCACAATTGTAGAGCTGGAGTGTCCAGGCAAGAGAAAAAGAAACAGACACTGGGAAAAGCTGATATATTAGGATTTATATTAAAGTCACTAACAATCAAACTTTCCCAGCTGGAGACAGGTGAGGGGAGAAATCTGATGGATGAATGCAGGCAAGGGAAGGGATGGATGTACAAATAAAAGGGACAAATGTCATGAAAGGAAAATAATTTCTTATGGACCAGGAAGAGCACTTGAGGGGTGGGTGAAAATGGAACGGCCAGAGGAATGGAGGGATTTTACTGCTGGCAGGCACAAGAATTCTGGATAGACTGGATAGATTTTAGCTGCACAAACAGCTGTTCCAGAGAGAAGGAGCATTCAGAGCTGAAGAACCAATCCAGATGTTTTCTGAACCCCCCAAGCATCCTCACCTTTTTTTTCTTCCACATAAGCACTGTCATCAGCACATTAAAAATGATTCCTTTCATTAAAATGATTTTGAGGCCCAGCTGTGACAAAGACAGGGTGTTCAAGTGTTCATCTGGAAAAAACAGAAAATGAAGAGTTAAAAGAGCACTGAGACATCCTCAGTCAGACTTAAAAGCTCTTTTTAACAAAGTTGCTCCATTGTGTCATGGAGTCAGCTGGTAGGGCAGGAAACCAGATGGGGTTTGGGACTCAGAGACTTTAATTTCTTCCAATCAATAACCACTTAATTATCCAATGTGCCAGTCTGCCACCTAACTGGTTTTAAATACTGTGCACTGTGAACCCAGGATGCTGGAGGCAGCTCTCCTTCCTCTCTCTAAATTGTTTTGAAGATGGGCAGGGTGAAAGCAATTTTGATTTTAATCATAGAATAAGATTTTATTTGAATTTTATATTAATCTGAACTTACAAAACCATTAGTATTTGAAAATATGTTGATCTTTAGTGGAGAAGGAGGGAGCTGTCAGCAAAAACTCACTGTGAAGTTTAATATTGAGAACCCTTCAGAGAGCTGAAAGGCTGATTGTGTTTACTGATGAGCATTTTCCTGAAATGGTGTTTTGGAAAGATTTGCAAGAGCACAGCTGCTCTGTGAGCAGGGCAGGCACAGGCTCTGCTCTCTGAAGTGGCAGAGCAGCAGATCCCTGCCCTGACCCCTCCCCAGGGAGCTGGGGCAGAGTGGCTGAGGTGCAGCCCTGTCACCTTTGGGTCAGGAATGGGGTGAGGCAACACCCAGACTCCAGGTCTCATCAGATGGCTGAATCTGAGTTTATTAGAAACCCCTTCTTTTATACATTCTTCATTAGAAACCCTTTCTTGTATATATTCTTCATTAGAAACCCATTATTTTATATGTTCTTTATTAAAAACCCCTTCTTTTATACATTCTTCATTAGAAACCCTTTCTTGTATATATTCTTCATTAGAAACCCATTATTTTATACATTCTTTATTAAAACCCCCTTCTTTTATACATTGTTCATTAGAAACCTATTATTTTATACATTCTTTATTACAAACCCCTGGTTTTATACATTCTTCATTAGAAACCCATTATTTTATATGTTCTTTATTAAAAACCCCTTCTTTTATACATTCTTCATTAGAAACCCTTTATTTTATACATTCTTTATTACAAACCCCTGGTTTTATACATTCTTCATTAGAAACCCATTCCTTTATACATTTATCATTAGAAACCCTTTATTTTATACATTCTTCTTTAGAAACGCTTTTTTATACAGTGTTCTGATACAGGTGGACCTGACTGATCATTTAATCAACACCACTGGCTAATTAAGGAGACCCCCTTTGGTAAACAACTTATGAGAAACCAATTCTTCACAACACCAGCTGCAAGATTGTTTTAATTCTTTCTCTTAACCCTCTCAAAAGTCCCCAGAACAAATCCTGGGAAAGTTTATCAGGCTTCTCCCTGACTGAACTGTTGCATCCACACACCCCAGCTTCAGTGACCCCTGAGCACAGAAACCACTGCTAACTGTGGTTCCACTCAGTGTTTCTGCACCCAAAATAACCCAATGCTCAAGGCTGAAATGCAGCAGTGCTGACTCATAGCAGTACCTGGAGCCACTCTGGGCTGAGCAGCAGAGTGATATTTTTCTCAAGATTTTAAACTTTCAGCAGCAGCAGCAGCTCTGTGGTGATTCAGAGCAAGAACACTGCATAAAATTATCAGCCTGGATCAGCAAGGCTGCATGTACACCACGACTTTCAGCCTTGCTGTTTAAAGCCTGTGGGGGCCCTTTTGGGGAAATTTTTTGTCTTTTTGCTGCTTCAGAAAGATTCTGCAATCAGGGAAAACCAGCAAAAATCTGGGAAGATGTGGATGTGACAGTGTGCTCAGATAGAGACAAAGCTAGGTAAGCTCTTCCAGAATCAGCCTGGGAAGCTTTAGGGCGCTGGGGATAAACAATGATAGTCACATATTAAACAATCTGCAGGTGGTTTTAACAATCTGTTTTGCTGTTTGGATAGTCAGATATTAAACAATCTGCAGGTGGTTTTAACAATCTGTTTTGCTGTTTTCCTCATGTAGTTGTTTACCAATGGGTGTCTTGTTAACTAGCCAATCATGTGAAATGTATTTATTGGTTTCTTTGGGTTTGGATTGAAGGCATTTGAGATGGCAGTTCATGTTCAGACTCAGGTGTTTATTATTTCTTATCAGTAAAACAGTCTCACAACTGTGAGTTGGGTAGCTTTTAATTAGAAGGCACAAAATGGCTAACAATCTCTTGTTACAAGGTCCTTTAAGATTAAACTATCCAATTAGGAACTGACACCTAGATTGTTTTCTCTTTTAACCCAATAATTGATCCCAAAGAGCCACAATGCAGACTTTTGTGCCAAATTACAAAATGCTACCCAAACCCATGAAGAAGGCCAAAATGCAGACTTTTCTGCCCAGTAACAAAATGCCACCCAAAGCCATGGAGAAGGAGGAAGAAGAAGCATGAAGAAGAAACCCAGGACGACACCCTGTGTCATCCATCTTACGTCCATCCACAACATACTAAAAACCCCAAACCCTAAATATCTCACCAAGTGACACACCTACACTACTCTCTACAATCTATTTCACACTTCTGTGGATTCTAGTCTATCTTCAAGTTTAGGAAACTTTCTCCATGAATGAGGATCAAAATCAGTGCTCCCCTGGGGGTCAGGGCACCCCAGAGCAGACAGAGAAATATTCCCTGAGTGCCCTGGGTTTCCACAGTATTGATTAAATGACCCATCAGGTCCACCTGCAGCAAACTGAGCTATAAAAGAGAACAGGATCAAATAAATGGGGCTTTTGCTTTCTGATACAACTCTGTGCCATCTCTGTCTCAGTGGTGACAGGAATTCATTCACTTTAGTCAGGGCAAACGTTTCTCCTCAAATGCTGTGTTACATACCTGTCCTGAAGTGTAGGGACAGCCCTGTGACACAGACAGCACTGGCACCTGCAGAGAGAGTCAATAAATGTGATTAATAACAAGAATGTACTTCTTCAGAGGTCTATAAAGATATCTCTGCTTAGGAGGAGTAAATTAGGATTTCTGGCCAACATGACAATAAATGTGATTAATAACAAAAATTATTCAGAGGTCTATAAAGATATCTCTGCTTAGGAGGAGTAAATTAGGATTTCTGGCCAACAAACCTTCCCATAAACTTTATTTTCTCCTTTTTTTAGGACAAGCATAAAACATGATCTAATTAAACTTCAATGTCTCTTTGGACAAAGCAATTTCAAGCTTTCTATCCCTGCACAATGTGTTCTGCTGCTATGACTAGTCTGCTCACCCTTAATCCTGTTTCCACCAAGGAGGAAGGAGGGAAAATAAAAAAAGGAGAGACACTAAACAAAGGAGAGACAATAAACAAAACCATCAAAGAAGTTTTTTTCCGTTCAAAAGAGAGGGGGAAATGTGAGAAATGGATTTGTAGGGAATTCTCCAAGCCTGGCAGAAGGCTCACACAGTGAGCATCTGTGTGCAAACCTGGAGAGAAGAAATGCTGACTTAGAAATGCCATGGAACAGGACAGGCATTGCTGAGAGAGAAATGGAACTAGAAACAAGTTTCAAAAGATGGTTTTATAAATAAGATTAGATATTTTGGAGAAACAGAATTATGAAAGATGTATTGTGGTAGGACCCACAAGGGGTAATTTTAGATTATTTGCTTTAAGGCATTTACAGCATGGTGTGGCTAAAGCTGATAGGCCAAGACATGCTTATAATGTTTCCCTTTTCCAGGCTGAACAATCCCAATTCAGCCTTGAGAGAATTAAGTAATACTGTTTCTTGGGAGTAGGAACTATTGCTTGCCAGAGACTTAGAGTGTGGAAAATGAACTTATAGAAAATTCTTAAAACAAGTTTCAAAAGGTGGCCTTAAAAATAAAACTAGATACTTTACAGAAATAGAGCTATGAAAGATGCATTGTAGTAGGAGCCATGAGGGGTAATTTTAGATGATTGGCATTAAGGCATTTACAGCATGGTGTGGCAAATGCTGATGGGCCAAGATACACTTATAGTGTATTGTAATTAGGAAATAGTTGGCTTCTGATTGTGATGGTGTGAATTACAACATCTGTATTGTCTCACCCTTCCCATGAGACTGAAAATGGAATAAAAGCTTTTAAAACACCTCTCAGTTACCCCATTTCTGGGTCAGAAAAGGGATTAATCTGACATGAAAACAGAGGCAAGGAGGCAACAATCCTCTGTCCCGTGGGACCACCGTGGAGCTGCAGCTCCAAGCCTGCTCCCAGCCCCAGCAATGCCATTACCACTCTCAGGGTCCTCTCCCTGCAGCTCTCCAAAGCCCTCGTGGCTGGCGGCACAGTGCAGCTCGTCCCTCCTGGCCCAGAAGGTGGACAGGTAGCTGGACTCCTCCTCGCCGCTCCCAGCAGCTGCCACCCCCACCACAGCAGAGGTGTGCTGCTCAGCAGAGCTCAGAGTCAGCTTCTCGGGGGAGTAATCGGTGATGAGGCACATTTCCAGACCCTGGGCATCTTGGGAGGTCAGCCTGTAGACTGAGGGAGATGGAGTCACTTCTGCAAAGTGGAGAAAAGAAGATTTAGGTCAGATTACACATCCATAGTTCCTGCTGTCTTACATACAGCCACCTGGAAATGCACACTGGGATTTTCCACACATATCAAAACACAACCTGTGGTTAAATTTTTTGTGTGTTTAGCTTTATAAAATTCTCCTCTAAGCATACATTTCATCTGGTTCTACGAGAAGGTGAATTCCTAAATCCTTATTCATGGCTCACAGTAAAATGTTCCAGACACTGCAGTGCTCTCATGATGAATAAATGAAATGTTTCAGACATTCTGTAGATACAATGCATCTTTGGGGCTCTCAGCAGCTCTGTGGCTGCATTTTCCATTGGCCTTCACAGATTTCAATGAGGGCTTCAGCTCACATTTATAAACTGATGCAGTGTTACTGTGTAGGATTGAGAACTGAGTTTGATCTTTGCTTTCTCCCTGTTCACACACCTCACTGATAAATACTGTAGAAACACTGAAGACATCTTAGCTCCCAGATGAAGAAATTTTCATTTCTTCCCATGGGAAAAATTACTCAAAATCTTCTTTATCACTGAAATAAACATTCTTAACCTGTTCTGCTCCCAGCTGTTGCCACCTCAGAGAAATAGCCATACTTCTCTATTAGCACCATCTCAGGAAAAAACTAAATCCACAAAGCCCAAGGGTTCATTCTCTGGCCCATCTCCTGAATTGTAATTCCTTCATTCCAGCTTTGCCCTGCCTTGAAGAACCTGATAAAACTCTTTGTGAACCTTGCAGAAACACAGCCTGATGTCTGCAGGGACTCCCTCAGCTCCCCTACTCCCAGCTGGTGTTTTGGAAATGGTGATTGTTTGTTAGGGAGAGGAAGGCAGGAGCTGGCAAAAAGCTTGATGATAAATCCCTGCATAAAATACAGATGAGGCAGGGCAGATCACTGCCATGGGGTACATGGAAATGAAAGAGCAGAGGAGGAATTTGTCAAGCTGCTCTCTTTCTCTCTCATCACCAGTACTGTGCTTTCTGAAGAGATAAATATCTACCTCACACCAAATTAGGGTGTTTTTCTCCTTTTCAATCTGTGCAGTGCTTTGATCTTGAACACATAAAACAATAAAGTCTGTTTTTCACAGGAAGCTTTAGCAGCTCTGCAAAATATTAGTTTCCTGTTCTTACTCAGAGTGGTGGCTGCCTCAGTTCTGGTGCTGCACTTCAGTTCCTGTAAGTTCCTCGGTTTGTTTGCCCATGAAGGCTTGAAATCATTTTGGTAAAAACATCTACATTAACCACAGCCCTGTGACCTGTTATTCTGGCTTGATGAGCTGACTGTGCTGGAGGTGCTGTACATTCATCACCTCTATTTACAGGAAAGAGTAAATAATTAGGTAAATAATAAAATAATAGAAGTAAATACTGATGCTCTGAGCATCAATTGAGCTTTCCATGCTGCTCAATTTTGTCTTTACTGAAGGATGTCTTCCAGGTGGAGGAGCAGGAGCTGTTGGAATGCAATTCCTGCCCAATCTACAGAGACAGCCAAGGCTGATTTCAGGGGAGCTGAACCCTGTTCCAACATCACACTGAGACCTGGGCCCTTTCTTTCCCTCCCCCACCCCAAACAAGCTGTAGTAGAAATCCTGAACTGCTTTAATTCCCAGCTGCTATCATGCAGAAAATGATCAAATTCTCCATTCCTTCCAAAGCAAACTATCTGCATCTCTGGTCAGACTGGGACTGGTGTGAATTTTTGGTGCTCTGACCACTCCTCAGCCTGGGACATGCTATTCCACAGCTGGAGTCAAGCTGGAGCTGGTGCCCACCCCAGGAGCACAAAAAATCAAAAATCTCAAAAATCTTCTTTCTCACTGAAATAAATGTTCTTTAATAAATGTTCTTTGTCTGTGCTGCTCCCAGCTGAGGTGGCTACAGCAAGCCCAGATGAACACATTTAGGACTGGAACCCTTCCTAGACTCTGTCTAGAGACACCCAGGCAGCAGAACAGGCCCTAGTCCAGCATCAGTCCCTGTCATCCAAAGGGCAGAGAACTCTGAGGAGACATTCAGTGTTTGCAAATATCAGTATGCTGCTTTGCTGCTTCACTGACAGAGTTCAGGCATCAGTCTGGTCTCCTTCCAAAAAATGTGTTTGTTTTTCTGTAATTAGACTTGGGGAAGTCAAATCACCAAAACCTTCTCACAAAGCTTTTAAGAGGAAGATTTCTGACTGAACCAAAAGTCACAGTGCATTAATAAAGGAAGATACACAGCATGTGAGGAGAAATCAAGTGCTCAATGGAATAAACAGTCCTCTAGTACCAAACCAGGACAAATCCTGGGATTTTAGCTTGTGTTCATGTTCAGAAATAAATTGAGATTATTTTTTTCTGAATTTTTTCTTACTGGGAAGCCATACCCTGTTTGTGTTCATGTACAGATCTACTCGGGCACCATCTAAACCTCAGGAGAACATTGCTATGATGTCCTCTGCTGCTCCTTTCAACAATGCTAAGAAAATATTTTGGGGGTCAGAAGGAGCAATTCTGCTTCTCTAATCCACTCTCTGACAGGTGACTGACATGGATTAACCCAGCTGTGTGACAATTTCAAACCAAAAAGACTTCACGTGGCTGCTCATGAACCTCCTGAGAACCTCTGTCATTTTCACAAAATGCTTTTCCATTATTTTCTTGCAAAATCAGACTGATTTTCAATTGCCAGCTCATGTTTTCTATTCTATATAGCAGAAATTGTGTTTCTAGGGGAAAAATAAAAATCTTAGAATCATACAACGGTTATGGATTTTAAAATAGAAAGATCAGGACATATTCCCTTAGGCTAAGACTTGGAAAATCCTGTCTCTAGGGCTTAGTCAGAAGAAGCTCCAGTGATCCAACCATGGCTGTGAAAGCTGTGTGGGCATCACCAGCTGCTGTGGGGCAGTGCCACAGCACAGCCAAGCCCTGCTGGCACTCCAAGGCAGCATCTCAGACTGGCTTCTGCCAAGGGAAGCTGCAAGGAAATTGGAATATTCTTCCATGAAATCCCTGGTCCATCTGACGCCATGATGATTTTTTTGCCTTTTTGTATACCTTTTATGTATTCTCAGTACTCTTACATTTGTAACTCTTTAAACCTCGTATCTTAGCATAGTCCTGGAATTCTGTTAGGCCAGGAGAACAAACATCCCGAAGGCCTCACAGCTGGAAAACCCTGCACTATCTTGGGAAAACAAGGTTCTGTCCAGAACACATTCTGTAAACTGAGATCAAGCTCATCTGGGGGAAATACATCAGAATAGGGAAATGCCACACCATTCACTTAAGCTTCTCATTAGGAATCTCTGTAAAATATGCCAATTTGCAAGGTCTATAAACTTGTATACACAATCTACTGTGTGTGTCCATTTCAGTATTCCATCTCGGTGAATTGTTGCACCTAAGAATCCTTATTAACTACTGAGATAAAAACCATTTTATCCCTTAATTGTGTCTGACTCTTAATTCAAGGACCAGAGGAAAAGGCATCACATCTACCCAATAAACAAATTATTTACTATTCCTGGTGTTAATATGGAACAGAAAGCTCAAGCTTACTTGGGGTAACAACAAGCTGGGTCCCAGCTCCAAATGTGGGTTTGGTGTATCCCTGGTTGGCACACTGGTGCCAGCCTCTACAAAAATGTGGGCAGGTCTCTGCCATGCATCCTGGCAGCCCAGAGCAGGGGCTGACTTCAGGGAGCAATAATGAAACATGCTGACTTTACACACTGTCAAAGTACCAAATAAATCTACTAGAAAATTATCAGCATCAGAAACACAGGGATCAAATTTAAAAACTGCTCATTCATTCACTGGTTACAGTTGTGTGGTGTTGTAGATTTTGGGTCAATATAAAGCATGATCTGCTTTTCCACCTGTAACATCACCTAAAATCTCAGATCACTGAGCCTTGCAGCTGGGGCCACAACCTTTCAGGCCAGCTTTTCTCCTCAGTATTCACTACCTTCGGATAAAGCCTTTTTCTGACCCAGAGATGGGGTAACTGAGAGGTGTTTTAAAAATTTCTATTCTGTTTTCAGTCTCATGTGAAGGGTGAGACAATACAGATGTTATAATCCACACCATCACAATCAGAAGCCAACTATTTCCTAATTTCAATACACTATAAGTGTTTCTTGGCCTATTTTGCCACCCCATGCTGTAAATGCCTTAATGCCAATCATCTAAATTTACCCCTCGTGGGTCTTATTACAGCCCTCCTGCAATGACCAGGGACAACATCAACTAGGATTGCTCAGAGCCCCATCCAGCCTGACCTGGAATGTGTCCATGAATGGGGCATGAACCACCTCTCTGGGCAACCTGTGCTGGTGTTTCACCACTCTCATAGTAAAAAAAATTCTCCTTTAACTCCAGTTTGAATCTATCCTCTTTTAGTTTAAAACCACTACTCTCTGTCCTGTCACTACAGGTTATTTTTGAAACTTATTCTCCATATTTCTTATAAGTCTGTGAATACTTTTAAGTACTGAAAGGCTGACATAAGGTCTCTCTGGAGCTTTGTCCAGGCTAGACCACCCCATGCCTCTCAGCCTGTCCCACAGGAGAGCTGTTCCATCCCTCTGAGGGATTTTGTGGCATTCCTGTTAACCACTCCAGCAGGTCCTTGTCTTTCCTGGCACCAGAGGTGGGCACAGCTCTGCAGTGGGGTCTCCCCAGGGCAGAGCAGAGCAGGGAGGGACAATCAACCCCTCAGTCTCCTGGGCAATGCTGCTGGGGATGCAGCCCAGGATGGATTTGGCTTCCTGGGCTCTGGGTGCACATCCCTGGCTCTTGGCCAGCAGTGCAAATATTATAAACATCCTTCCTTCTCAATGCATTTCCACCTGACTTGTGCAACCCATGGCTTTTCTTGAGGCCAATGGAAGTGGCCTGGATAGACCCTTTAGGAGAGAACAAATCCACCTGATTCACTTTGCAGCAGAGCAGAACCAGCTCTGTCTTGGCTGATGCCAGGAGGGCAACCAGAGGAGGAGCCCTGGGAGCCTGAGCCAGCTTGGACAGCTGCCCTGAGCTAATGCCACTGCCTGAGGTGGGCTACAGTGCCCTGACAGCTGCCATTCCCCAGATCTTGGTGTTAAAAAACTTGAAAATTAGTAAGAACATCGCAGTAAATGTACCTGGCAAAACCAGAAGTCTCGTCCCAGATCCAAATGTGAGTTTGTAATTACTCCCAGAGCTACACAATAGCACAGGCCTCTACAATATCCAGAGCAGCACTGAATGGAGCCTTCAGCAATTAAATACTCCACCAGAAGAAATCCTGTTTATCTCTATGAACACACAGATCCAATTACCTGGGACTTTTCCACCTACTGACTTTCTTTTCTTGTGGTATTTTGCATTTTGCACTCCCAAATGCTCTCTCCTTAATATTCCCCTCAATCACGTTTGTCCCACTGTTTCCAGAAAGCCACCTGCACCACAACTTCTATTTTCCATCTTATTCCTCATTTATTTACTCTGCCAGTCAAATTCCTCTCTCAAAAATTCATTTATTTACTGTTACTGCAGTAAATCAGTCCCTAGGGAGTGATGGTGCAGCGAAACCTCCATCATCCCATTCTCTTGGATTTGCCACCTGAATTAGTCCAGAGTGATTCCAATGAAGTTGCCATTTAGTTTTTGAGTAGAAAGCTCTTTTTGGTGTGCAGTTTCACTGGGGCAGGGAGATCACTGCTCATTCAGCCACTGAACCCTGAGGTTTCAGGATGTGTCAGGAACGTTCCTCCAGTGGGACCAGAGCAAGATCTGGAGCAGCTGCACACAGACATGGTAAATAATGGTAAATATATGGTAAATTTACCATAATGGTAAATCTGGAGACACCTACATGAACTCAGAGCTCTGATCCATAGCTCAAAAAATACTCAAAGTATTTTTCTGAAGAAAAAAGGATGCATAGGAAAGTGTGCTTTAACTGTTGCTGCCATAAATGTACGGCAAAAAAAAAACCAAAACAACAAAATCCTACATTTCTTGTTTGAAACCCTTTGTAAAAGGGAAAGTAACAATTGCCAAGATATTTATATTTGTTGTAAATGTATCAAATTTTCAAAATTTCTTAAAAATATATTTAGGATTGTTTAATATCTAAATTGAGTGAAAAGTAATGGTTTTGTTTCTTAAACTAGTATTGATTCTTAAGATAATTTCAACATGATTTTATTGTGAAAGTTAAAAACCAACAACATAGGGAAAGAATTCCTTCTGGAATTCTTTCCCTATGTTGTTGTTGGAACCTCTGAGGAAAATAATTTTATTTTAAATGACCCCCCTGACCCTCTTCAAAAACATCTGAGAGAAAGGAGAATCTCAAGTTTATGTGGAGCCATCAGCAAGCTAAAGGAGATATGGATCAGAGCTCTGAGTTCATGTAGGTGTCTCCAGATTTACCATTATGGTAAATTTACCATATATTTACCATTATTTACCATGTCTGTGTGCAGCTGCTCCAGAGTCACCTTTCCATCCTTCCCCCAAGGTCAATTAACTTTTTCAGTAATTAGTAATTACTATTACGATTTAGTATTAATTCAGTAATTAACTATTTCCCCTCTATCCAAATATCTCTCCCACCCTCAGTTTTAAGGCTGGTCATGCAGCTTTTCACCAGTTCCAGATCCTCACTTGTAACATGCTCCAAGCTTCACCTGCATGTGGCAGGACAAGGTAAATCAACACAAGCTGGCTGTGACATCAACTTGGTGTCACCCCTGCCTTGTGTTTATATCATGATATTCTGTTTATATTCTGTTTATAAACAGAAACCCACCCCCATGGTCACAGCTCAAGGATCTCCACAGCACTGACCCATTGTGCATTTTTTGTGTCCACACACAATTTTGAGTCTGGTTATCCCCAACTATTTCTATCCACATACAAGAAAAGTCCTTTTTGCCTCCTACAGCTTTATCAAACCAGTTTCACCCCTCTACATTTTGCTGGTCTGTGCTGGCTTTCACCATTTCACTTCTCCTCTGTTTGAGGAGATTGATGTAGGAGCCCAGTTCCCATTGAATTTCCAAGACAAATCCTCTTGCAGATGTAAAACCTCTATGTTCATTTTCAGGAACAGGGAGAGGAGAATATACTTGCAACCATGGAAACCACTTTCTCTTAATACCAACTGAAAATTCATTGTCCTGTTGCTAAAATATTGTGGGGTGGCAAAATAGGCAAAATAACTTGTGAACTGAAAGAAGAACTTCTACCTGAATTCCACCTGAATTCCACCTGAATTCAGACATACCTGGAGAAACCACGAGTTTGGTTCCAGCTCCAAAGGTAAGCTTGCCATAGTTCCCAGAATTACACTGTGACACAGCCCTTTGCAAAATGGTGCCCTGGGGTGGGTGTGTGCTGGGTGAAGGCTGGAGAACATGGCAAGGTTTTATTTGAAGCAGCTCACAGAATCACAGAATAAATTAGGTTGGAAAAGACCTTTGAGACCATCAAGTCCAACTTGTGACCCAACATCTCCTCATGACCCAACCCTGGCACTGAGTGCCAGTCCAGGCTTTGTTAAATCCTCCAGGGATGGACTCCAGCCCCTCCCTGGGCAGACAATTCCAGTGCCCAACTCCTCTTTCAGTGAAGAATTTTTTGCTGATGTCCAACCTGAACTTCTCCTGGTGCAGCTTAAGGCTGTGTCCTCTCTTTCTGTCAGTGGTCACCTGGGGGCAGAGCCAGACCCCACCTGGCTGCACCCTCCTGTCAGGGAGTTGTGGAGAGTGATGAGGTCTCCCCTGACCCTCCTCTTCTCCAGGCTAAACAAACCCAGCTCCCTCAGCTGTTCCTCACAGGGTTTGTGTCCCAGACCCATCTCCAGCCTTGTTGCCCTTCTCTGGACACGCTCCAACCCCTCCAAATCCTTCCTAAATTGGGGGGCCCAGAACTGGACACAGCACTCGAGGTGTGGACTCATCCGTGCTGAGCACAGGGGAAGAATCACTGCCCTGCTCCTGCTGGCCACACCATTCCTGATCCAGGCCAGGAGCCACTGGCCTTCTTGGCCACCTGGGCTCACTGGTGGCTCATGTCCAGCCTGCTGTCCCTCAGTCCCTGCAGGTCCCTTTCTGCCTGGCTGCTCTCCAGCCTCTCTGCCCCCAGCCTGTGGCACTGCAGGGGTTGTTGTGGCCAAAGTGCAGGACCCAGCATTTGGCCTTGTTAAACCTGACCTTGGTGGACTCAGCTCATCTATCCAGCCTGTCCAGATCCCTCTGCAGAGCCCTCCTGCCCTCCAGCAGATCCACACATGCTCACCAACATCACTGGTTGGTGATCCAGTAATGCTCACCACTACTGGTGAACCTCTGTCACCTCAGCACAAATCAGCCCTTCCTTCAGCCCCGCTCCTCTGCCTGGTTAACTCCTCAGCTGTGTGTTCTGTCCTCTCTCCACGCAGCAGCAGGAGCACCTGTCCATCCCTGTGTGCACACACAACCTCCCAGGCTGTGTTTGGAGCCTCCTGAGTGCTGCTGCTGGGTCCCACCAGGCTGTGTCACCTTTCTGCTCTCTCTTCTTGCCATGCCCACCCTCCTTTGCAGGGTGCATTTCTTGAAATGATTCATGCTTGGAATTTTAGCAACACGGGATTGTTCAGGTTGGAAAAGCCCCCAAGACCATGAAGTCCAACCCATACCCCAGCAGTGCCATGCTCACCCCTAAACCATTACATTTAGCAAGGAGTGTCCAAACACATCCTCCCAATCCCAATTTTGGCCCACGTGGGAAAGCCAAATCCAGGGGACTCCTGGGCCACGGCAGGGCTGCAATCATTGTGCTTCCCAAAGCTGTGCCCCTCCAAACAACCAAGAGCAACAGAGGAATGAAGCAATAGTGTGTGTTGCTTTGTTTTGGTACCAGAGTCCCTTGGAAAAAGGCTCTGGATGCTGGAACAGAGCAGAGGGCAGGGCCCACGTGGGAAACCCAAATCCAGGGGACACCTGGGCCATGGCAGAGCTGCAATCATTGTGCTTCCCAAAGCTGTGCCCCTCCAAACAACCAAGAGCAACAGAGAAATGAAGCAATTCC